CCGACCCGCTGCTAATCCCGTTTCTCCCCGATATCGCCGTTAGATCGGCTCGCTCTCGCGCGAGTTACGCAATCGGCCGCCTATCAAACCCTATATAATCGCTCCTTTGCCCAGATTTAATTGCTCCTAGAAACTCGTCGAGGAATTCGTTTGTCTGGTAAGCGTCGAGTATTATACAGGCTCTGATTCGATTCTTAATGGAACTTTAACAGAAATTTAAGTATGTAAGAGGTTCCATTTTCGTATAGAATTCCTTGTACTTTTGCCTCGTTTATCTCGCTCGATGATTACGTTAGGAGTAACGATCGGTGTGAATCAATGATCCCTCGCTACGTATTATTCGCAAACACGCGAATTTTAATTTCCGCCAAGTACACGAATTTATAATAATAATCCTTTTCCTCGTTAAAAAATTCTCGGCCGTTGGAAAGAAAATTGAAAATTCGCCCGAGTGTTAAAGAGTTTGCCGGCCACGCCTCTTAACCCTCTTCCTTTCACGCGTCTCTCCAACAATTTCTATTATACGACTGTTCTCTCCTACTTCGGTGTAATATTATCATGCGTTCGAGATAAACGTATTCGAAACGTTAACTTGGATAAACGTTCTCGAAAACGATTTGGCCCGCGATTATCGACACGCGAGCGCATCGACGCCGCTGTATCTTCGTGAACGAAGGAAGAGCCATCTCTCGTTCGATCGGCTCTCGTGCCTGTCATCTCGGCACGCCTGTTGCCACGAGGAAACGTGTTTCGGCGTGTCTCACCTCCTCGCCTCCACGGGATACATTAGACGCGCGCACAGTGTGCGAATTAGAAAGAAGAGAGGGGAAAAAAAGTGGAGCAAATTGCGCGGCGAGAAACGCACAATGACACACCTTCGCCAGCCTCGATAGAACTTGTCCGCGCGGATAATACGCGCCGACAAGGGATCGTGGACGCCGAGCCCTTGCCAGGCATTCATAAATAAATTTTTAATCGGGTGCCCTCGAAAAGTAGGAGAGCGCACGGAGAGTGTACGAAGAGTGACTCGTCGAGCGATATCATCGATATATATATAATTCGTTTGCCCTCGAAAATTACGATAAGTTGAAGAGTTGAATTTAATTAGAAGTTAATTATGGGAAGAAGAGGTGATGGTAGATGGGAGTTGGCAAGTTTCCTTCCTTCCTGTTCATGGTTTAAAAATTCGCGCTTTTTCCTCTTTTTCTTTACAATCTCCTACAAGTTGTGCACAGGTCTCTCTGGTATAAATCAAAGGTTCGTTTCGTGGCTGCACGGCCATAGATAGGCATAATATCTTACGTCGAGGTCAAGGCGAATGCGTCAGGCTCGTTTATGGCTTGAACACGTGCTGGTATTAAACGCCACGATTCATCAGAGGTAGAAAATAATCCGTAGTCGCGCGGAGAGAGAGAGAGAGAGAGAGAGAGAGATCTTTGGGAAATAGCAGTATTTTCGAGCATCGTGTCCTCCTCTTGAAAAATAATCCTCCAGCTTCGACAACCCGGGCTCGCGCGTGTCGTTTATACGATTATGCGTTTACGAGCAATTAATCGGGATAAAAGTCGTTGCTTGCAACTGGAATCTGGGAAAGTGATGTCGAAAGAGAAAGAGAAATTCTTCGTGAATTGAAATTTATTCGTGAAATCTCCAGATTCGTGCAATCTCTTTTTTTTTCCTTTTTTTTTTTTACGTCATTAAAATCACGAGTAACAAGCTTTTTAATAGTTCCAGATTCGAAAATAGATCTATCTCTCGTAAAAACACGAATGTTTTCACCTATCCCCGACCATCAATAATCTCTCGTTTACGACCACGAAAAACCAGATTTAAACGTCTATTTAATAACACCATAGGCGTCGTATCGATACATATTGAATGAAATCAGCTATCGACCAGATACGTGTCAATTATTATAAATTGACGCGTAACAAGAAATATTTCCATCTACTACCGATTTGAAAACTATGAAAATCGATCTTTAACAAAATCCGCATCATTCCCCCTTTAAATTTCAAATTCCAATATCCTGTACGGAATTCGAACGGAAAAAGGGTTTTCGATCGGTTTCGAACGACACACACACATACACACACACATAGGGGATCGGCGATGAGCGTTCGAGATTCCTCCTCGCGATTCGACCTCGCCGTTCGAGGCGTTCGCACGAGTGAGTCGTAAAACTTTCTCACCGAGAGCGCGGCCAAAGCGAAGCGCGGCTCTCTCAAGGATCCTGAGGAGAAGGGAAAGGAAGGAGAGGAGAGGAGAGTCGGCCGTGTCAGCAGGATCCGCGACGATCCGCCAGCCGTGGTCCGCTCGAGATATTTAGCGGCGATCGGAAACAACAACAAGCTGCCGTCTAATCACCGATCGACTACCAAGGCGGTCCCTCGAACCCCATCGCGACCGAGCGTGTGAGCGTGCGCGGAGAGGTTGAATCACGCTAACTAGACTCCACACTGGATCTCTGTGTGGTCGCGGGGATTTCACTCGCGTGAACGATCCACTCTTCTCTACTCTCCTCTTCTCATCTCTTCTTTCTTTGCCTCGCGTGCATCTCCGCTCCGCGAGGGATGGATTTCGATGGGAAGGGGGAGGGATAATTGGGGAGGAGGATCTAAAACGCGCGCTCGATTAAATCGTAGCGAGAAAATTTCGAAGCGTTCTTCTTAAATTCTTTCCGCTTCACTTTCAACGACTTGCCGGATTTAATTGAGACTGATTTGGGGGAGGATTCGCAAACAGGCTTTTCCTCCTTCGAAGAGAATTCATTTTTGATCGACAGCAGTCGTATTAAAACGTCCAACGTATATATCTCATCCGGGAGGAGGATAACTGGATTACCCGTATTGGCCCGTACTCGCATTCCTCACTCCCCGCTTATCGTCGATCCACGAAGGAGGCCCGAGCTTTATTCACCTCCCGGCGTAACGATCCGCTCGGCGTGTTGGCGTGGTGATTCACGAGATTCACCGCTCGGCCCTTCCTTCCGTCCGGACTCACGATTCACGTGTCCCCCCCTCGAGTGTCCATCCAGCCTCGTTTACTCTCGTCTCTCCCCCTCTCTCTCTCTCTCACACACTCTGTGATTTGCCAACGGAACAAGGTGGCGCGTTCACGCGGCCAGATGTTTCTCTTCCTCGCGAATAATTAACCAGCCAGTGTTGCGAGTGTTATTACACCGGTTCAAATTAGTCAGCCTGTGTAATTGGCAGCTGTCCCGATCAACAGGGTAACTCGTACTTATCGGATAATTCGAGATCGAGATTCGGATCGAACCGCGTATAGTCGTAGATCGTGAGATTACATTAGGAAAAATTCGAGCGGGTAGGCAGGTAGGGATTCGACGTAGCGCGGAAATACGGGTATGAAGATATTATGCGAAAGGAGGCCGAGACAGGCAATTTACATAGGAATTGGCTCTCCATCGATCGTGGCAACCGTCGATACCCGATCGATAAAACATCGCCCGAACGATATTCGACGATCGGTATCCGATCGTGGCCCGGAAGAAGTCGGGGAGCGGCAACAATATGCCTTATCAAAACGGATCGCGTATCACGGTAACATATATCGATGGTATATCTCCACCTATTCCAAGCTTCGCGACGTTTTCAGCTTGTTATCGAAAGATTGTCACGCCGGTAGATCCGTATCGGCGTCGTAGTTCACGGCCCGACTACCCGGCTACCTCGGATGGGAGGAAACTCGCGTTAAATCGTGCCACGGTAAATCGAACGTTCCCGTTTCTGTTCCGAGGCTTAACTCAAATGGAGGGGGAATAAAATCGGAGAGAAATCGGAAATTGGATGGCGATGCCAGGCGGGATACGACGTCGTTAAGCAAGACTTGCTTAACCTCGATTTAAGCCACGTTTCATAGCGAAAAGAAAAAGGAAAAAATTGAAATTATTTTAGGAGCGCGTCTTCGAAAAGGAAAAAGAAACGAAAAGAACACAAAGGGAGATAAAACGACGATGAAAACAATCGACATCGTGATTGCGTAAAATCATTGTAATTGCTCATTGTACAGCAATTTACACGAGTGTAGCGGGCAGCGTGGAGTCCCAATATCGTGGCCTGTATCATAGCGCGGCAAACGGGCCGCAAGAGGTTACCTTGGCGCGGTACATTCCCTTATCGGCAAATCGCCGGCTAATCATCATCA